GTTTAAGATACTTTTGTATATTGATACAAATGTAAGATTACTTTTGTTATACTATATATTTGTTTAGGAAATTTTTGCATATTGTTCCAAACTAAGGTTATTTTTGTCTTATTGCATCATACATTTCTACTTCTGGTTAAGATATTTTTGTATATTGTCATAAATTCCAAGTTACTGTCCTTATACTGTACATCTATTTCTATTTTTGCATAAGTATTACCTCTCCAGCCTGTTTAATTTTGTTATGTGAAGCTTTAGTCCTTAAGCTATATAGGTTAATAAGAACTTCAAGTTAATAGTCACCCATTTGTCAAACTTAAAGTTGTGGTAGTTAGGTTTTGAGGCATACAGAGATATGTTCCAAATAGATAGGTTATCTTCAAAGACCTACAGAATATGGCATTTAAAATGTTTTAATAACTTAGAATTCTTCTATTTTGTTTTTGAAGATAGGGTTTCTCTGTGAAGCTTTGGTGCCTGTCCTGACAATAGCTCTGTAAACCAGGCTGTTCTAGAATTCACAGAGATCTGCCTGCCTCTGCTGCCCAGGTGCTGGGATTAAAGGTGTGCACCACTGCCTGGCTAGAATTCTTTTGATGTGAGACATGTTTGCTCCTAGTAGCACCAATCTACTTCCAAGAGGATGATTGGGCACCAAAGACACTCTAGATGGAGTTTGTTTCCCTTTTGGCAAAACTGTCCTATTGGGCAAGAAACTCCCCTTGCTTTGGCTGCTGACAGTAAGTACACTGTCCAATCTGGACCAGCAGGGCACAAAGAAAAGAGACTGCAGAACTTTGCCAAGACAGGATAGAAAAATCCTTTAAATTTTCCTGCTTCTGAAAATGGTCTGTCAGATATTTTAGGCCTATAGCCAAAGTTGAATGTCCCAACATTACAGAGAAATCTTGGGTGACTGTCCAGTCAGCCAGCCTTTCTGTCATTTCTTGCATTTTTATTTATTTGTTTTTAATATTTATTTATTTATTATGTATACAATATTCTGTTTGCGTGTATGTCTCCAGGCCAGAAGAGGGCACCAGACCTCATTACAGATGGTTGTGAGCCACCCTGTGGTTCCTGGGAATTGAACTCAGGACCTCTGGAAGAGCAGCCAGTGCTCTTAACCTCTGAGCCGTCTCTCCGGCCCTCATTTCTTGCATTTTTAAAAGGTTGCTTATTTGCACTTCCTGCCTACTCAGGTAATATTATTTCCCTTCTCAGGTCTTTGATGGAGTTGAAGACTAGACAGCTACAGTTACCGTTCTCCTGAATCTTTTTTATAAAAGATTTATTTATTATGTAAACAGTGTTCTACCTGCATATATGACTGCAGTCCATATCTGGAGAGAACCAGATCTCATTATGGATAGTTGTGAGCCATCATGTGGTTACTGGAAACTGAACTCAGGGCCTCTGCATGAGCAGCCAGTGTTCTTAACCACTGAGCCGCCTCTCCAGCACAGTTCTCCCAAATCTTAGCAAAGGACATCTTTGTCTTAGCTGGAAGGTTGGAACCTTCTGAGCTTGGATTGGAATTTCCCTGTAGCACAAATAATAAAAACCCAGAGACAGACATTGGGGTTCAACCTTAAGATCAGAAAAGCAAAGCAGCCAACCACTGGCTCTTATCTCTACCTCAGACCAAAAATGGGTGAGATCCTGTCTCCACAAATCCTGAAGACTCTTCACCCCACTGAATTCTGTCTCTTCCCCCTTATAGCCCTCTCTGCCTAGCCATTTCACTCCTGTCTCCACCTCCGCAATGCTGGGATTAAAGGGGTGTGATCCCAAGTGCTAAAAACCACCTTTGTGTGAGCCTTTTCTCTTTTAGACAGATTTAATCTTCTGTAGCCCAGAGTGGCCTTGAACTAACAGAGATCTGCCTGCCTCTCCCAAGTCCTGGGATTAAAGGTGTGTGCCACCACTCCCTGGCCTGGACTAGTGTGGTGCTTTGCCCTCTGATCTTCAGGTAAGCTCTGGGCTAGGCAGAGAGGGCTATAAAGGGGAAGAGACAGAATTCAGTGGGGTGAAGAGTCTTCAGGCTTAGTAACTCCTAGCTTCTTATTGCTAAATAGCCTTGGGCTGATTTTAGTTTCAGACCCCCCCCCCCCCCAAAACAGGGTTTCTTTGTATAGTCCTAGCTGTCCTGGAACTTCCTCTATAGACCATGCTTGCTTCAAACTCACAGAGATCCACCTGCCTCTGCCTTCTTAGTACTGGGATTAAAGGCCTGTCCCACCACTGCTGAGTTTTGTTTTGTTTTTTTTTCCCTAAAGCAGGGTGTCAGGTAACCCAAGCTGACTTGGAACTTGCTATATAGTAGAAGGTAGCCTTGAAGAATTGCTTTTCTTACCTCCATCTCCCAGCTGTTACAATTACAACTGTGTATCAAGCTCTCCAATTGGAGATGGAGGTCTCACTATATAGCTCTGGCAGGTCTGGAATTTACAGTGTAGACCAGAGCAGGGTGGCCTTGAATTTACAGAGATCCACCTGCCTCTGCTTCCCGAGTCCTGGGAATAAAGGGTCTTGCTTCAAACTCATCATTTCTCTGCTTCAGCTTTTGACTTCAGGTTTCTTCGGTAACATAAGTTTACTGAACAATAGTCATGTTGCTATACATGAGATTTAGCTATGACAGGGCTCAATAAGCAATATATGATATTATAGAAATATCAATGATAAAATATTAATTATACTTCTTCTCTGGCAATAAATGGGAATATCCCATTCCTCTTCTTTGCCGGAAGGAAAAGAGACATCGTGGAAGTGAAGGAGGAAGGAACTTGAGAGAAGCACAAAAAGCTGAGTGGGAAGAAAAGAGCCCAGAAGAGCGTCTTTGGGAGGATGCTGGATCTCTAATCACCGCATGACTGCTATCCTCAGCTGCCTAATTTTGAGGATTCCAGCCTCTCTGCAGATCCCACAAATTTTGCCTTTTGTAACTTTTTTTGAGAAAGTTGGAAGTTTAATTTGCTTTCTAACCAACCAAATTTCTGCATTGAGTGCATGGCATATTTAAATGTTCCTGTGTCATCAAAGAAGCTATCGATTCTGGAGAAATTTTTGATTGAGTTGACTTTTTAAAAAACTGTTTGAATCTTAATTGTATTGGAGAAGTTTAGTAACAAGCATTTGGGTTTTCATAGACTTTACCTCCATTCTGGTGGATAAGCTCAATAAAGGTTATAGTCTGTCCCCGCCTCCACACCGAAGGCAAGGAGATAAGAGGGTGAAATGAAAGAAGGGAAAACAGAAGGGGAGAGGGAGAATGCCAGAAAGTCACAAAGGGGACTGACTAGGAGAGGGAAGGGAATAAGTTAGGGAGAACAAAACACAGGGAACAGCAGGCAGGAAAGGACAGCAGGAGAGGTGTAGGAGGCCAGGGAATAGGGCGAAGAAAAGGGCAACAGAAGGGACAAAGAAAGAGGGTAATCAGAGGGCTGCACTGCCACCTTCAAGCATGCCAGCTTTTCTCTCAACCTCTGGGCACCTTTATCACAATGGTAACTGACTCCACCTTTCACCTGGACGATAAGGCTAATGCCCACCCTGGTCACTCGGTTCTAAAAACGGACATGCACTCTTTCTCAGCCTTCTAGTCTTAGTCACATGGTTACACGTTGGATGGGCATCACACAAACTCACAATCTCTGAAACCTCATTTCCCAACATCCTGTACAGATCGCTAGCCTCTCTGCTGCCAGTTCACTTGATCGAGCACCTGCCACGGTATCCACTTCCTAGTCAATGCTCAAATATCCTGGTTCCTTTCCCTGCCACCTTCCACTCCCACTCCACAAATGCTACTGTTTGCTTTCCTGTATGCTTTCCATTAAACATTATCATAAACACCCTCAACTCTCTGAACCTCTCGCCCTCTCTGTTGTACTTACCATGGAAACTCAACCCTGAAAGATCACAACCATCTGCCTTCTCTACCTACACTGGAACTATTAAGCAGCTTCAGTTAAGTGAATTCATGGTCTCGGGAACACCACATGAGCTTTTTGGGAACACCACATTCTCCAGATTTTCCTCCTGTCAACAGAAGTCTGAAGAAAAAGAGGCATTTCTGTGTTAAACATTCTACAAGGCTAACTAATCAGAACTTCAGTGATTTTGGAGAGCTGGACTGCTGCAGGTCCAGAGCCAAACCCAGGCTATCTTAGTCCCTAAACAGCTATTTATTGCCCACCTCTGTGTGTGACCTAACATTCTTGTGACTATTAGGTAAGTCCTTTTGTAATGTACAAACAGAACCCTAGTTTTCAGACCCAAACGCTAAGAATGAATTCTTATAGCGTCTGAGGCCTATATAGGGCAGAGATTACCAGCTCTGCTATAAGCCATTTCCACTAACTTATCTGAAAAAAGCCGTGATGTATAGCTTCTGTTCTGTTATAAAAAACTCATGAAAATGCTACCGCTGTTGTCTCCAACTTTCAAAGGTTTGTCTTCATCCAGGCTCACTTTTTAGACTCGTCCTTCTCTGTTAAGGTTTTTCCCTAATGGCCAGCAGGGCTATGCTTAAAGGCTTTCCCGGCGGCTAGAATGTAATCTAAATGCTCAAGTCTCCATCTATCACTTTCCAATCCCTTTATCAAGTCTTAACCTTCCCACACGCCCTCCTCTTTCGGTGGGTTACTGCACCCTAGTCTCTGCTCTTCCCAGTCTCCAAGTCTTGGTTCCAAGGTCACCTCTTCAGAGGCCGTCTCGGCAGATTTCAACCAAACTGTTCCTGTTTCTCCCTTGGTTTCGTTCCCAGCAGTGCGGTTATTCCTATTGATTCCTGTGTTTGCTTATTCAGTTCAGCCACTTCTCGTGGGAAAGGGAACTCTGAACGACGAAACAACAGGTCCGGCTAAGGATTCACCCAGCATCCTATACCAAAAATCTCCGGGTCTCCTGACACGTTGGAAAGGACCGGAACCGCAAGCGGAAGCTGGCGCCTAGCAGGAGGCCCCGCCCCTTCCGGTTGCGGCGGCCCGCAGCTGGCGGCGGGGCCCGGCGCCCGCTCAGCCCGCCCCCTCTCTGCTGCCCCGCCCGCCCCGCCGCGCCGGCCGCTGTCAGAGGTGCGGTGTATGCTGAGCAGCTGTTGTCGCCGGCTGCTGCACGTCCTGGTCCCGAGCTTCCCGCCGCTGACCCGTGGACTGCGGCTCTGTCCCGGCCACCTCATGAAGCCGTTGGTCGTGTTCGTTCTGGGCGGGCCCGGTGCGGGCAAGGGGACCCAGTGCGCGCGCATTGTCGAGGTGAGGCCGTGCGGGAGGGCGACGGAGAGCTCCGGGGCTGAGCGGGCCCGGGCCAGCGGGAGCTGCCGCGTTGGCTGCCGCGCCCCCCGCCGTGGGCAGCGGACTACGAATCCCGACGGCCACCGCGCGCCGGGGCCGAGGGGCGTCGAGTCTGAGGCGCGCGCCGCGTTGTCCGCTTTGTTCCCGCGCGCCCTTGCTTCCACTCCCGGGACCGGGGTCTTGTCTCCTCGCTCGGTCCCGGCCTGTCAGTCCTCGGCTAATCCTAACCCGGATCTTGTGGTAGTTAAAGTACCGGAGCCGTGTGAGCCGAGGTGCTAACCTTTGGCCCAGCTGCCAGCTCACACTTTTCTTGGGGTGAGTGAGTCACTCGCTCTCCGAACCTCAATTATCTAATCAAATAAGAAACTCTGCTCTCATGTTAACTGAGAAAGTAAGACACCACCCAAGTCTAAAGTCTCCTTATTAAAAAAAAATGTTTGCTGTAGGACTGGAGCGATGGCTCAGCTGGTTAAGTCGCTTGCCACAAAGTTCCATCCCAAAGACCCACATGGAAGGAGAGCACCACCCCCGCGAGTTGTCCTCTGATTTTTATACTCGAGCTGTGGCTGAGAGTTTGCCCACACAAATAAATTAATACAATAAAAGTTTTGACATAAGTTTGCCAGTTCCATTCTGTTAGTATTTGAGGTCCGGTTGGCATGGTCCGGAAAGAGGTAGTTATTGGGTTCACACCCCGTTTTTCTATCCTCTGGGAGCAGTAATGATAAGGTGAGGAAGACTTAATGGGCAGTCTTGGGCAGTGTTTGAAAGCAAAACAAAGCAGTTAGAAACAACAGGCAACCAGAGTTGGGGTCAAACACCAAACGTTCACCATTAAATGGAGTGCTTGGCAAAAGTTTTTGACCCAGAACTTGATAAATAATTTCTTTTCGTAGGTTATGGCCTGTATTTGCTTTGGAGTTTTCCACGTTCATGCATTCAACTCTTGTCCTATACTCTGTTCTCTAAAGAACACCCACAAATAGAGTGTGTTCTAAAAGTTGGGTTTATAATTAGAGGCAACTTCTGAAAACCAGGTCTGTCAAAAAGTACATAGCATTTTCCTCATTTTTCTTGCTGTTGGTTTTCACTTTTTAAAAGCGAAATGTCAAGTGGATAGTCTCAGGTTTCTGTTATAAGCACGATGATTAAAATATAAATAGCGTGGTAAAAGAAGGAGCAGGAACTTTATAGTCAAAACAAATAACGGTTCAAGGCTTGATTCTGCTACTGTTGTTTTTCTAACTCCAGAGAAGTTACTTTTAGCTTGAGTTCCTTTTTAAGAATGGAGAAAATAGAATCTGTTTTGTATTTGTGACTATTAAATGAGGCCTGACACCTGGCAAATGTAGATGCTTTCTCCTTTAAGCTTCCTGGTTTTATTATATTGGTCATTTCATTTATGTTTAGAAAGACAACAGGTTTATTTAATGTACTGTAAGGGCAGCAGGCTGGGCAGTAATAAGAGTATTATCTGAAGCTGGTAATTTTTATTTTGAAGGTGGGTTAACATTTTAAAACTTGACATATTACTTTCATTTTTGAGTGCACCCAGATACTTTGTTTCTGAGTCTATAATGTGTCTTTAAAGGGCCACACTCAGCCTAACTGCACAGATACTCTACTGGATTCAAAGTCTCTGTGTTCAGTAATTAGTATTTCTGTTTCATGAATTGATAGCTGGTAATACTTAAACCTGCTCATATCAATTACAAGAGTCCATGATGAGTTTTTTGTTTTGTTTTGTTTTTTGAGTGCTTCTTTTACTTACTGTTTAAGATGGCAGCTATATTATGAACTTCGGAACCCAGGTCTCAAACATGAAAGATATGCACTCTTCTACAGAGCATCTCTCTTTGTACTTTTTACTTTAAAGTTCTCAGTAAGTTGTCCCTGCACTTACTCTGTAACCAAAGCAGGCCTTGAGCTTGTGGTCTTCCTGGCTCAACTTCATAAATAGCTGTGATTATAGACCTCTTCCACCAAACCATCTAGAATAAACTCTTTTGAAGTGTTTGCTGTTGATTCTAGTTACCATAAACATTCAACTGATAATCTGCCAATTTCAAATGTATAATTTAAGAGTCACTGTTCCTTAGCTGATTAAACAAACACTGGAATGCCTGTGGTTTGGGTAAGTCAGGTGTTTTCCCCTCTGTGAGTCTGCATTTTGACTCACTGTTTCATCATGTAGGCAGCTATGAACTTAATCCCCAAAGATAGCAAGTTTTAAAATTAATTTTTTTTCTGTAGGGAAAAAGTTATATAACTCAATGTTAAATTCTCCAACTCTCATGCCAAAGAGAATTTAGTTCACAGGGTACCTGAAATGTGGCCGACTATAGAATTGTTTTTTGGAGAGAAGTTATTTTTGTTTCTGACTCAGGTTGCCAGAAGTTGTGCTGTATTGTTTGTTTATTTTGAGGAATGGTCTCCTTATGCTAACCCAGGCCGTCCTCAAACTCTGTTCTCCTGCCTCAGCCTTCCTTCTGTTAGGATTTGTGCTGCCGGTTGCTGTCAGAAGTACAGCTTGGTTTTAGGGATTCACAGTCTGAGGGTACCTTGCCCTCGTGTCATGGAGGATTGGAGTTAGTAGGTAAGGGAGTGTGTTGAAGAGAAGCTGGTAGTTTTTTCTGAGTCACTCCACTTTTTTAATGCTCCATGGGCAGAAAAGAACAGATCTGATTGAGAACCTTTTAAGGTATCTCCTAACTGGAAGAGAAATTTTGGGGGAGCTTTGGGAATTGACTTAACTCATTTATTTTAATAGTCCTTTTCAATTTAATTTTATTTTCTAATTAATTCGAAATCCATATCCTCTTGTACTATTTTTTTAATTAGCCATTTTCTAAGTCAGTGTAATACTTTTATTCGAATTAAATACTCAGTGGAATTATTGAATAATGATATATTTCTAAAACTCAGGGATGCTGTATCATGTAAAACATTTCCTACTTCCTTATGTTGTGTATACATATGTGTATGTGTGCATATGCTATGGCACATGTGTGGAAGTCAGAGGATAACTTTGTGGAGTTGTTTTTCTCCTTTAACTTATATGTGAGCTCAGGGATGGGAATCAGGCTCATTTGTGAATTTTTAAAAAGTAAGCTTTATATTTATTTTGGTCCAAAAAAAATTAGAATTCTGTAATCTAAACTTCTCTTCAAAAATACATCCACAATTTTGCATTGGTTCTTGGAGAGATAATTTTTTTTGGGGGGGGGGGGTTTCGAGACAGGGTTTCTCTGTAGCTTTGTAGCCTATCCTGGAACTAGCTCTTGTAGACCAGGCTGGCCTCGAACTCCCAGAGATCCGCCTGCCTCTGCATCCCGAGTGCTGGGATTAAAGGCGTGCACCACCACCGCCCGGCTAGAGAGAGAATATTTAATTATCTGAATGGCTAACTCATACTATGCTTTAAAAAGTTTTAAAAGTTTTGAGTGAGATTGAATTTGAGCATACAGAAATCAGAAATTTGATTTTGTTTACCTTTTTGTCTCTGTTGTTGAGCATTGTACCTAGCATATAGTAGGTACTTGTTGAGTAAATATTGATGATAGAGATATTAATGTATCCTGAAACTGTATACATCTTAAAAATTTGTTCCCTAGGGGGCACCCAAGTAGCTTTCTGGACCTTAAGCATGAGTGAAGCCAGTCTTTGGGGTTCTTTTGTTTACTCTGAGTGAATGAATGGTGAGTATGCTGAGCAGAACTTTCAGTTTCAAAATCCAGAACTCATCCTGTACCCTAAGAAGGAATGAGCTAGGAAAAGTCTGGTCGACCTTAAGGTCTGGCCTTTTAAGAATAGGACTTTTTCTTCTTGGGAGGGTATAGTTAAAGATTTATTTTTTAAAGGATAATTTAAAAGCTTTAAAGACGCTATAAAAGAAAAAAAAGAAAAAAAAGACTATAAAAGATATGGCCTACAAAATACTTGCCTCTTGGGGATAGAGAGATGACTCTGTGGTTAAGAGCACGGTCAGAGGACCCAGTTAGATTCCTGGTACCCACATGGGTACCATCCATAACTTCAGTTCCAGGGGATCTGAATCCTGTTTTGTCCTCCACAGCACTAGACATGCACATACATACATGCTGGAAAAACACCCATGTGAATTTAAAAAGCAACAAAACTTGACTCTATTAAAGAACCACTATTTTGGAGGCTGGAGAGATGGCTCAGTGTTTAAGAGCACTGACTGCTCATCCAGAGGACCCGGTTTTAATTCCCAGCACCCACATGGCAGCTCACAACTGTCTGTAACTCCAAGATCTGACACCCTTATACAGACACATGCAGGCAAAACACCAATGCACATAAAATAAAAAAATTAAAAAAAACACTTTCTTTTTTTTGTTATTGGTTTTTTTTTATTGATATTTATTGAGTTCTACATTTTTCTCTGCTCCCCTCCCTGCCTCTCTCCTCCCCTGTTCAACGCTCCCCCAAGGTCCCCATGCTCCCAATTTACTCAGGAGAGCTTGTCTTTTTCTACTTTCTACTTCCCATGTAGATTAAAATCTATGTAAGTCTCTCTTAGTGTCCACATTGTTGTCTAAATTCTCTGGGATTATGGTTTGTAGGCTGGCTTTCTTTGCTTTATGTTTAAAAAACACCTATGAATGAGTACATGTGATAATTTTCTTTCTGTGTCTGGGTTACCTCACTCAAAATAATGTTTTCTAGCTCCATCCATTTTCCTGCAAATTTCAAGATGTCATCATTTTTTTTCTGCTGAGTAGTACTCCATTGTGTAAATGTACCACATTTTCCTTATCCATTCTTTGATCTAGGGGCATTTAGGTTGTTTCCAGGTTCTGGCTATGACAAGCAATGCTGCTATGAACATAGTTGGGCACATGTCCTTGTGGCATGATTGAACATCCTTTGGATATATACCCAAAAGTGGTATTACTGGGTCTTGAGGAAGGTTGTTTCCTAATTTTCTGAGAAAT